AGCAATTTGCATGTACTTAGCATAAAAATGGATATTGGGTTAAGCAGTGCTCCTTAACAAACTGATTATATTCGTGCTACTTGTAAGTATTCTGTTAATATTCTGTATATCATATAGGCAGAGGGGAAGGGTAATGAAAACTGAAACAGAAAAAAGAATAGATTTCTTGTACTCCCTGTCTGTCTGTATCCATCCGTTATCTCTTGTCATATACTTAGATTTTAAGCTCTTTGGGACAAGGAGTTTTTGTTCTGTTTGTACAGCACCTAGTACAATGCGGTCCTGGTTCATGACTAGGGCTCCTTGGATACTACTGTAATACAAATAATAAAAAATAACATTGCTTGGGTCATATGGTAAATGTCCTACTTTAAATCAATGAGGCAATCAAGAGAGGCGGAAGAAGATAAAATTATCTGAAAGTCTGGTTTGGTTTCTATTGTACCAGCCTAGAGATCTAGTAGTTCTCCAGTAGTACATCATGAATTCACTTCTGTAATGTACTCTACTAGCTCTAGCAGACTGCTTAGGCATACTATTTCCGTCTGAAATTCCAGTAATCTGTGGCAACAGACATTCATCTTAAGAGTCTAATTTTCTTCTGTGTCCAATGTCTCTGCTACAGCTGACCTCAGGTTTATGTATCATTTAGAGCCCTGTTTACACTGAAGCGATAAAGTGTCTGAACCAGCTTATAAAACTATTATAAGCAAATTCAGCACAATTTTTAAATATGGTTTACCTGACCAGTGTTGGCTAGTTTCTACCTAGTCTAGAACGTGTTCCAAAAGGTTATTTCCTCAGCCACATTGCTCAGGCCAGTATTTTAAGACCTCAGATAGGCCTTTTCTGCACAGTGGTGGGAGGAGACTATCTGCTTGGGCACTCCTTGGAGCTGTCATTGAGCAAAATATGAAAAAAAGCCCACCAAACCCCTTGCTGGGTCCAACAGGGCTCTAGGGTATATATCATCTTGGCTTGAGGCCTAGTTTTATTGAAATGTTTGATTTCTCCTGTTCAAGTGATTTTAAATGTTTATCCCAAGAGAAATGTATTTCAGCCTCTAGGTTATGATTTAGTATAGTTTTTGAACTTGTAGGCAGAGAAGTCCTCAGCTCATTAACCTGCCAAATCGTGGCCTTGAGCTGTTGGGGTGAATAGTGGAGGCATCTTCTGCTGGGATCTGTAAGCAGATTGATGGGTAGACCAGAAGATATTTACATCTTGTTTTGTTTAATGCCTATTGCTTCACAGAACATCCATGTTCATTTCTGCTTTGCTTTTGAAGATTTCGTGAGACTACTTTAGCTCTTTTTAAAGGGATACTGTCAAGGTAATTAGACCTAACAATTGATGTGCTTTAAAGTTTCTAATTTTATGACACTGCACTGAGGTTCTCCTCCTGTTTGTATCTGAAGTGGATTATTGCAACGTTGCATTTCAGACTACTCCGAAGTGAACTTTAACAATTAAGTTTTAATGGTTTTGGTCACCTTCACACAAATTATTGAATACTTTCATCTGGATTTTTCAAAGGCAAATCAATTCAAAAAGAATTCATTGAAAGCTGGGTATCCAATTTTCTTAGAGTCCTTTGAAAATCCCAGCCTTTAATATTAAAATAACCTTTAACATCAATATTAAATAACTCTCTAAATGTTTTACGTGAGGCAGCTGATCCACAAGGAGGAAGAGGGCCTCTGAAAATTCAGCAGTGTTAAAATAAAGCAAACCGCATCTGGATTTCGTATTTGGTTGAAGTGAAGCAACCATTATGGTGACTCTTCCTATTTTCTCCCTCAGTGAATGTATGTAGTAATCATGTTACAGCAAGTTCTTTTCACTGAAGGCTCTGTGCCCTAGACTATCCCAGTGAGGAAACAAAACTGCGTTGTCTGTTTGATGTCCCCTAAAGCAGATGCCTGTGATGACTGCATGTACTGCAAATCTGTGTCTAGCATAAATACTCTCAGGTTGATGTCTACCATCTGCATGTTGCTTTGTCAGTGATCAGCCTTCCCCAGGATGGGAAATATTTCTTTCCTGTTTCTCAGTCTTGGAAATCTCCTGAGCTCAGACCACCAGCTGTCCCCTAAACAAGCAGTATATTATGTTATAATGGGCCTCTGTCTTCCATGAACAGAGCTGAGACTACTAGTGTTCCATTTCCCCCAGCAGATATCCAAGACTTTAGTTTTGGAAAATGTGATGGATGAGTGAAAAATGTATCAGACAGCCTTTATATGAGCTAGTAGATGAGGTTGGGTAGGCTTTATCAACAAGGTCAATGCCTAGGTAAGAAAAGCAGCCTCCAGCCACCTTCAGCAACTGGGAAGTAGAAGGCTGCTGAGGTTTCTGTGGGAATGCTGCCTCTGGACTCTGCTTGGGTCCATCTTTCATACCAGTCTCTGGCTAGTAAGTGTCTGAAACTTCTCGCTGCTGGAAGAGAGCAGGAATTCTGTGATTGGGGAGGGTCTAAGCTACTCTACTTTTTTCCCAGAACTGCCTGGCTGAGGAGATAAGATGAAGTGGTCTTTGTCACTCTTCGTCGTCTGTAGCTTTAGTGGTTTTTTGAATCCTCTTTTCCATGAATAAGTCCAGGGTCCCTTCTGCTTTTAGCTTTCCCAAGCAGCAGTAAGGTGAAATTCTGTTTCTTGATAGTGTCACTGCTGACTGGGGTTCTGAGTAGCGGTGGTGAAAGTAGCAGAGTCTTGTAAATTTTACTTTGCTGTTGCCTGACAAAGCTTCTCCCGCTGACATAGCTACTGCCTCAGGGAGGGTGGATTAGCTACACTGACAGGAGAGCTCTCTCCCATTAGTTTAGAGCATCTTCATTAAAGTGCTACAGTGGCACAGCTGCACCAGTACAGCTGCACCAATGAAACATTTTAAGTGTAGACTTGCTCTTATGTAACCCCTTTAACCTTTAAAAAAAGAAAAGGAGTACTAGTGGCATCTTAGAGACTAACCAATTTATTTGAGCATAAACTTTCATGAGCTACAGCTCACTTCATTGGATGCATTCAGCTGTAGCTCACGAAAGCTTATGTTCAAATAGATTTGTTAGTCTCTAAGGTGCCACTAGTACTCCTTTTCTTTTTGCGAATACAGACTAACATGGCTGCTACTCTGAAACCTTTAACCTTTGTGGTTTAGTATCTGCCATGAGTCAAAAATCAGTGATAATTATAGATTTAAGAAATGGATGGGACTTCCTGAGTCGTCCGATCCAACCGCCTGTGTGAGTGTTACAACGAGCCTCTTAGAAGTGATAGACTTAATTTTTATGTAGAATAAGGAACCATTCTGCAGGGGATCATATGGATTAACCAGAGACGTGCCATTATTTGTCCCACTGTTTTTGGTTCATTCTGCCTCCCGTTTGATAAGGATGAACTGAAAATAATCTAAAAAACTTGCGTAACAGAAAATGTTTCAGAAACTCCTGCTTCTACACAGAATTGCTTAGAAATGAAGTTCTCCATTCTTAGACTGTGTTCAGGAGTGGCAGAACTGTCGTGTGCATCTCGGGAGTAATTCATTGACCGCCTGTGGTGGAAATGCCAACAAAATAATGTTTCCAACTCACTGTAGATCTTATTTGTGGAACCCTTTGGCCTAAAATTGTCTGCCATTGAAAATGACTGCAAGTTAATTTATAACTTGAATTGACTTTCTCATATTGTACTATGTTTTGATTTAATTTGTGACTTGTATTTGGGTCACTTGTTCAAGTATTCTGTACTTTCCACAGTATGCATCCGATGAAGTGAGCTGTAGCTCACGAAAGCTTATGCTCAGATAAATTGGTTAGTCTCTAAGGTGCCACAAGTACTCCTTTTCTTTTTGCGAATACAGACTAACACGGCTGTTCCTCTGAAACTTGTTCAAGTAGCATCCTCTGCGTATACTGTTATAGAGCACCTTAAATTGAAGAGAGCAAAGATAGAGCTTTATTGTCCATCTGCCTAAACGGCAAGATTTCCCTTAGGAAACTGCTCTCCACTTAGAAGTTAATAATAGAGGTCACTGAACTCAGTGTACCACAGTCATAATGGTTTGGACTTGTAGTGTGACTACCCATAGAACATAACTAGGTGGAGGTTGAATGCCTGATGAAGCACCACACTGAACGAAGGACAGTGATTCAGAGTGGATTGCAAATCAAAGAGGAATACAGACCAGCATCTTTTAACTTGGCCACAAAAAGGTGTTGGTTGACTTCCATAAGATCTGCTCTCTCTACTCCCATGAAACTGAAGCTCAATTGCAGGGGTCCAGTAGGGATTGAGGAGGGGAAATCAAGGTAGTGGGAATCAATGACAGTACAGGAGCTTCATGTATGAGGAGCTTGAATGCAAATGGGAGGAGAGAGATGAAGCAATAGTTAGAAAGACAAAGGTAAAGGAATGAATAGGGGGTTCTTTAGGTGTGGAATGAGAGTTGTGAATCCCAGATGAGCTAGTTACAAAATTTATCGCTGAAATGTGCTACAATTTAGACTAATTTTAGTTGATCACTTCCTGAAATAGGAGGTGAAAAGCAAAAATACACTTTGGAGCATTAAGGGTGTGGTTGTTGGTTGATTGATAGTAATGAAATTAACTCTAAATTGTGTTTCTTCTCAATAATTGTTGTGAATTTTATGAAAGAAATAGCCACTGTGCTTAAGTGAGGAGAGAACTATCTCAGGCTGGAAGGAACAGCTTGTGAAATCTAGATGCTCAAACTCTTTCCACCCCAACCTCTGCCATCTGAGTCTCACTCATAAAGAAAATCTTTCCATTGCGAGATCCTAAGTAAAAATGGGCAGTTTGTTTGAAATAACATCACTGATGTTCAGGAAAACACCTTACTTTCCATAAATTTGCCTGTGTAATAACTTCATCTTATATTTCAGATAACTTTTTATTTTTTGGTTCAGTTGCTTTTGTATTTCAGGGAAACCGGTTGAACAGGATACCTTTAAACATCTGACTCTCTTCACTCTCCTTTTGCAGATAATGGGCACTGAGCAACAAGCTGGGGCGGTATGCTGAAGTCAGGTTGGGGGCAGAATGAGTTTAAAAGATGCTGGAAGTGCAGTTTGCCAGGAGAAGGCGGCCTATAATCTTCATATTTACCCCCAGCTCTCGACAGAAAGCACCACCTGCTGCAGTGTGACTGCAACTAAGGACAGCACCACTTCAGATGTAATCAAGGATGTGATACATATTTTGAACTTGGATGTTTCAAAGCATTATGTGCTTGTGGAGGTGAAAGAATCGGGAGGTGAAGAATGGGTACTTGATTTGAATGACTCTCCTGTTCATAGGGTTTTGCTTTGGCCCCGCCGTGCTCAAGATGAGCATCCACAAAACGATGGGTACTACTTTCTTTTGCAAGAGAGGGACACTGATGGGACCATCAAATATGTCCATATGCAATTGGTGTCCAAGGAGAAGGACGCTCGACGATTGGTTGAAAGGGGTTTTCTTCCATGGCATCAGGAAGACTTTGATGACTTATGCAATCTCTCCAATTTAACAGAAACGACACTCCTAGAGAATCTCAAACACCGCTTTCTAAAACACAAGATTTATACGTATGCAGGAAGCATTCTGATTGCCATCAACCCCTTCAAATTCTTGCCCATTTATAACCCCAAATATGTCAAGATGTACGAGAATCACCAGCTTGGGAAGTTGGAGCCCCATATTTTTGCCATAGCTGATGTGGCTTATCATACAATGCTTAAAAAACACGTTAACCAGTGCATAGTCATTTCAGGTGAAAGTGGATCTGGAAAAACTCAAAGTACAAACTTTTTAATTCATTGTCTCACCGCACTGAGTCAGAAGGGGTACGCAAGTGGTGTGGAGAGAACTATTTTGGGAGCTGGACCAGTACTGGAGGTAAACTTAGGCTGAAATGTTTCTTTGCACAAATAACTTTTTAAAAACTTTCTGAATAATTGCTGGTATGTGTCATTTTTAGGGAGGATTTTGAAGGCCTTTCTCCTGCGGAGGCATTGAAAATCCAAGTCTGTGTTGATCTGCTACTTTGAAGACAGATTTTTAAATTATTTCTGTTTTTAATCTCTAATCTTTCTTTGCAACTAACTTTCTGCATAGATGAAATAGACCATTTAGTCCTCTTTTGAAATAGGCTATTTCTCTATTTTTCCTTTGCAAGTTACATTCTCGTCTTCAGAGATGTCAATTTTGATCAGTTATATTTTCACGGCCAGAGCTCAATGTGCTGGGGTGAAGGATTCATTGGGTGTCTCTCATTAGGACACTGTCAGTATTTGAGTCTAGGGTCAAATACAACCAGTCACTTGGTTCCACTGAATAAGGAATACAGTGAATGTTTTCATAAGTAAATAGCTCTCCATTGAAATAGTTACTGCTCTGAGTCTATTGGTGCTTTTTTGCATGGTGAGGATGTCTTTAGCCTTTCCATTGTGAATTTCCTTTCGCGGGGATTTACTTCTCTGGTGTAAATGTTTGCTTCAGGCAGAAGCATGTTCTCAGCTGGGGAGAAATTTTGATTAACCCGTAAGAGTTCTGAGCAAATTCTGTCTTAATTACTACATCATTTCCAGCAGAAGGAAAGACAACAACCACCAGTCTTATACAGGGGTGTTAGTGGATTACAGATTGTTGTAATAAGCATTAAATCCAGTGTCCTTATTAGGGTGGCCTCTCATATATACCTGGAATACTGGAGATTCTGGTATTTCTGGGAATGATGTGGGAGTGATCCCATCCCTGTCAGTGTGATGTGCATGTAGGGTCACGCCACATGGGGGCACCATTTGGAAGATTGTGTCATCTTGCCCCCACTGGTGTGACCATGCGCATGGTGTGTACAAGGTCATGGTGGTGGTGGTGGAGTGGGGCACTCTCCATTATGGCATCCCTCATCAGATACTGCATAAAACCATATCTGGTTTTGTCTCAGTGCTGGATAGGGAACAAACATTACAAAAGCAGAACAATTCGTTTAAAAACCAGATGAGGGGCCTGCCTGGTCCTTATTGAGTTTATGATTTTTAGTTTCTAGAAAAGTTATGAATTTAAGCTCCCACACTCATCTTTTGAAGGTGTTGTGCAGGTTTCCTTTGAGGATGAAGGCTGAGAGGTCCGATATGGAGTGATCACTTTGTGAGAAGTGTTCAATCACCAGTGATAAGGGTTTTTTGCCATATCATTTTTCAATGTGAGTCACTTAGGTGCTTTTGAAAATTTTACCCATGATGCTTTACAGAACAGGGAGCACATGCAAGCATTTTGCCTTGCTTTCTGCTACTTGAAAGCAGAAGTAGAATTTGAGGTTTGCTAGTTGCTGGAGCTCAAGTTTGCAGTTTAGAATAGAAAACAGGAAGGGGTCACTGTGGAAAGCACTATTCAATCAGCTGATCTTGCTGTGTCTGATACCATTAACTCTTTTGGACTCTAATTTGCAAGATGTGATACAGCATAATCAAATCAGATAGAGGGGCTTGAAATCACATGTTATATTTTGCCAACTGAATGAGAAATGCAAATACTCCAAACTTCACCAGCTAGATTTGTAATTATCTGTTATGCAATAGAAAATGAATGCTGTTTTATTCAAGCATTCTTAGGGCATGACTACACTTGCAGATGTAGAGCGCTTTGAGTTAAACCAGCCTTCGGAGAGCACAGTAGGGAAAGCGCTGCAATCTGTCCACACTGACCGCTTCAAGCGCACTGGCGTGGCCACATTTGCGGCACTTGCAGCGGCATTGGGAGCGGTGCATTATGGGCAACTATCCCAGCATGCAAGTGGCTGCAACGTGCTTTTCAAATGGGGGGATGGAGTGTGTTGTGTGTATCTGAGGGAGAGAGAGTGGGTTTTTGGGGGGCTGAGAGCATGTCAGCATTCTGTCTTGTAAATTCAGACAGCCGCAGACCCCCCTCGCCTCCCTGACCCCCCCCTCACAGCATTCCACATTAATGGTTGCTTTGTCTCGGAGCATATAAGCAGCCGGCTGTCAGAAACAGAGCTTTCAAAGGGCATTTCCGCATTCCTACAGCCAATTCCAAACAATGACAAGAGTGGCCACTTGACTTAAGGGGTTATGGGATGTTTCCGGAGGCTGATCAGAGCGCAGGAAAGCAACACCTCGTTCACACTGGCGCTGCGGCGGCTCCAGAGAGGGCACAGCAAACGTTATTCCACTCGCCAAGGTGGAGTACCAGCAATGCTGTAGCCGTGGAGTCAGAGCGCGCTACGTGCCTTGCCAGTGTGGATGGGTAGCGAGCTAGTGGGCCCGGGGCTCCTTTATTGCGCTGTAACTCGCAAGTGTAGCCAAGCCCTTAGAAATTGATACACCTAACATGGAAGTCTGAATCATAAAGAACCACTCCTAGCTAAAAATATGAGTAAAGATTGAAACCTAAACTTGGGAATTTTCTAAATAAACCTTCACATAAAGAAGACATTTCAACATATACCATCTAAAATTTAGGATTTGATAGTTTCTTTTTATGAGTATTTCAGTCGAGAACTTTTCTCATGCTTTAAGGGTCTTTGTCCATCACACATTAATTCAACCTAAACTCCTATCTGGGGCTGTACTTTCGAAAATCCCTTTGTTTGCTTCTTAATAAAAGTAACAAAATGCAGTACAGCTGTATCCCAAAATGTCTTGCAGAGCTGAGCACAAGTTTGTATGAAGAGCGCTACTTATCAGCTTGAAACTAAAAAGGAGGAAATAAAGCATTCATAGATGCATGAAAGTTAATAAGGCAGTACAATCCTGCATGTAGAGAAGTTATGGAGGCACCTGTGACTCTAACCAAGAAATATGAGTAGGGTTATGTCTGCATATGGGTTAGGACCTATAATTCTCCAAGAGTTCAGCTTGAGTATCAGTGGGAGCAGTGAAGGTTTGAAGTATAGACAACTCACATTTTTACAGTAGGGTTAGATAACACGGTAATAACTGTTCAACTCATGTCTGCGCTACTGCCTCCATTATTATCACAGCTGGAGCTGATGAAGTGGAGAATTATGGGTCCCAGTTTTCTTAGGGTAGATGTCCTCTTAGTGGAAATTCCGATTCTGTTAAGTGATGATGAATACTTAAGTCAGTTGTGAGTTTAATAGGAGAATGCAATGAAAACTTTGTAGCAAACGTTCTGTCTTACAGAAACTGAATTGTTCACAACCAAAATGTCCTGTTTCAGAGTTGGTGATTTGGCTACAGTGAGAGTCACTTGGGCTTTTCATTTAATAGAACCAAGTACAACAAGGAATCTTCCTTTGAAAATGAGTTTTCCTGAGGATTTTTGGGGCAGAAGAATACTTTGAAATGTGTTTTAGTCATTTGGCAATACTCTATTTCGTTTTTGCTTTATATTTTGAGTCCTCCTGAAATGTGAAAGACTTAACGTTATTGAAGTCTGCTTGATTGCAGTAAGACTATAAGAGCCTTTAGGTATTGGCTTAGAACTTCCTCCATTTTTGGTGACCTCTTATTTTAGTGATACCTGGTTGCCAGGCATCTGCTAATGGGCTGACCTTTTCATAGAGTTCAAGTGAGTCATAACAACATTTCTAATATAACGTAAAAAAGGTGAATGGCCGCGTAGTACTGGCAAGTTGTGTTTGTAATTAAAAAAAAAAAATCATATATTTTAAGAATAGCCTGTCAGGAAACCTGAAACTGCATGTTCTTTGCTATGTGAAGACTAGTTAGCCAAAGCTGGTAGCTCAGCTTTCCTCAAATTAGTGGAAAGTGTTGAATCATCTAATCATTTGCTCAGAATAACCAGACTCTGGAAAAAATTATAACCACAACTACACCTTGCCATGGGATTAATTTAAATGCTTCTTGAAATTACCTTCTCCAACTTCTGAGACATTAGATCTGCCAAAATGATTCATAGATGTCCTAGTTAACTATGAAAGATATTGTATATCAAATAAATCAAAAGAAGAATCAGTCCTGGATTAATATAGACTTAGCGCATAAAAGATCATGGATCTTGGAAAACTAAGGTGGTCAGAAAATAGACTGCTGTTGCTTATACTTCTGCAACGCTTGACCAAAGGAAATACAGCTTGGGTCACTCTCTGGCATTCTGACTTCATGCATAATTTTAGCAAGGTCTTTTTTCTGCTACAGATGATAATAGTATAGCAATCACATGCAATATCATAATAGACATGAAAAGCATCTCTTGTTACGCTGTAGCTTCCACATGTGTCTGTTTATGTATGGGAAATTGTCGGGTGCCACAATGGAACATTCTAATAAAATCTCTAACAGTAACATCCCTGGGACGGGTATTTTGTTGAATTTCCAGCTTCCAAGATGTAATTTTTAAAAGCTGTTTAAAGACTGCAAGGGGACCAACTGAACATTCAGGATATAGTAGCTTTCTTAGTAATAGCTGCTAGAGAGGAAAAGCTATTCAACTGGAGTGTTTAGTGCTAAAAAATGTAGCCAGCAAGCTGCTGAATAAACTAGGAAGTAGTTTGGGGGCTAACTGAAAGCTTTTTCTGCTTAACTCACTTTCTCCCTCTTCATAACTCCATCTTGAGCTCTGAGAATAGTTTTCTGTTGGTGGCGTTTGCCCCTCTTTTCTGGGACAGAACTCACCTGACTCTGCAACTTGCAGGCAGCTTTGCCTAGGTAGCTTTTTTGGAGTTTTCCTGCCAGCTCCTGATCTAGAAAAATAGATTGTGAAGACTATTCATTTTCTGTGGAAGACAAAACTGTAAAAGTGACCTAATCTAACAGAATTCCTCAGGGAGAAAAAACAGACTGAAATATTTTCCTCCTAATTAAGTGATTTGCCACTGTACTGCCCTTGTTAATATATAAATGCTAATAAAACACTGTAGTTAAAATAAACTATTACTTTTTTGGACTGCA